AATGGAGACCAGTCAGGTCAAGGGTGCAACGAGCAAACTACCTGGCGTAGTAGCTGAACCAGAAGTGCTTACACAAGGCGGTTATGGTCAGGCACCGGGGACTGTGTCAGGCTAGAGAGATGTAGGGTAATAGACAGTCGATTGATTTTCGTCATAAACCCCGTACGCGCTATCATGTTCAGCGGTGCTCTGCTGTGCTGTTTCAGCAGAACAGGAACACGGCGAAAACTGTTAGCCTGCTTACCTCTTGTTTACTATAAGTTCATGCCTCATACTTGGAGTTCTTTCCGTATTAATAAATATATAATATAAATAAACGTTTTATTCCTCAGCAGTGCGAGGCACAGACCAATTGGGTGGTCTTATCAAATGTACAACGTGATCGCATAATATAGTTAATTATTCGTCTTTTGATCAATGGTTCTCATATGGGTTTTTGAAAGGATTAGCAGTTTGGGAAAAGTAGAGAGATAAAGAAACTGGGAACAATAATAAAAGTAGATTTTGCGGAAAGTTCAAGTAAAGTAATACGGTCATCCATGGAACTGTCCCCAGGGGACTTGCTTCAATGCAGGGTATTTCCACGATGGGTTTCACCCGCACTTCCATGCTCCAATTGGCACTGTGCCTGTGTGGCAAGATAGTAAATAGGCCATCAGAACTAGGTGTCAAATGTCTTTTCTTTTAGGGCTGTTTTATGCATACATTATAGGCGATGAAGCCTCAGCCCTTTCTGTCATGCGGATCAATCAATTATGGCACTTTTTGTTTTAAGCCAGCGGGGCAGTAGTAATATGATTTGCATGGGTATATTATTTTAATTTGGAAGCTGTAATCCGTCGCCACAAGAGATCAGCCCAGTCATGACCAACGGTGTCACAAAGAAGATAAAGTATGAGGAATTATAAAACATAATGGTGAATACAAACGCTTGCAGATAGGCCACTCACAATTTGATGGAAAATCTTGGCGAGAGACGACGATGGTACAGTGATATCAGCTTGAAAGGTGTAGTGCGTCTACGAACCAGTGCGTCAAAGGAGAAAACAGAATTGGTTAGACGGATTAATAGGAGCAAGATCGTTCTCAAATATATACTCAGGAATGCAATTATATGTAGGTAATTTTATATTATTGAAACGAATAGAGGATATGGTGACTTTCATACGTATCCAGGACCTTTCTCATACAAATCAATTAGAGTCACGGTTTGGCTTAGTGTTGACCCGATGTTTGCAACAATCAGGTGAATATTAATCATGCTCCTGAATTGTGCATAGGTAGTGCAGTTTCTAACACGCGATGGAAGTTTGTTCCATATTAACCTATATTTTACAGAGAAAAGTTTTGAGCGGAGCATTGTGCGAGACCTTGGTATTTTCACTGTGCGCTCGCTGTTTCTTAGTTCATAGCGCATACGAGTCTGAAACTCGAGTTGTGGCTGAGCAGTGAAGGTTAATCCGAATAGTAAGCGGTATAGAAGGTTTGAGTCTGCGTAGCCATAGCGGCTCCAAATTTAGCGCCTCGCAACGCTCACGGTATGTCATAGTATTAAGCATGTTCAGAAACCTCTTTGTGAATGATCGTTGAGCGTTTTCTAGTGCTATAATATCCACTTTTCTCAGATTACCATGCGCTATCGTACAGTACCCAAGTTTCGACCTAACACATATTTTAAAGGCTTGAAGCCTGCAATCCCTCAAAATAAGAGTTCGACTTACATAAGCGATCACTTTTCTGGCAGAAACCTGCAAGAATATAACATGCTCTAAAAGTTAAATGAGGCAGTATATTTTAGGCCAAGGTCTCGGACTGCGCCACACACAAGAATAGGGATAGCGTTTAATGTAAGGATGTACAGAGAAGGGCCACATCCGTAGTACAATAGATTACTCTTGTCCGTGGCAAAGTGCAGCTTCCTGGAGCTACTACAGAGCTCCAACGCGGACATTAGCAAGGCACTTTAGTTCCTATAGGTTAACTTCATCCTACTAACTCGCCTCATACTGCCACCCTTTCACTATATGTCACGATCAACAGTTTGCATTTTTTATTACCGCATATGGCTGACGCATTGGATCAGCTGGCGCAGAGTGCGTGAAGGCTTATTATTTGACCACGATGTGTTCTGCACGTGTCGATTTGGTTTCTGAAAGTTGCCAATTAGGCCACCGTAGGCAAATGCGGCTTGATATGGCTTGCAAGACGGATTGACCGGGCAAATATCTTTCTGATCCTGCTCTACTTGCATTTTGCCCTGGCTGAACCCTTCAAAGGCCTCTGGGTCGGATTTCATTCACCCGAAAACGTTGCACGATTTGGCTGCGGAACTAAGTGGACCGCTGGGTATGGTGTTTCAGCAAGCGCTTGACAGTTGTGCATTACCTTCTGAATGAAAGCAAACTGCCATCTAGCCCATCTTTAACAATGGGGACAGGCGTCTTCCTGCAAAGTATAGGCCACTCACTCTGACCAGTGTGGTAGCCAAACTACTCGAGCGACTGCTGTGATTCATTGGAGAGTCATCTGCGTGGGTTTGAGCTACTTAGCAATGTACAATACGGATTCCGGACGGAATTTTCGTGTCTGAGGAATCTACTGATGACCCGCGAAAGTCTGGCGGATGCAGTGGATAACGGCCATAAACTGGACGTGCTTTTACTCGAAGTTACGAAGGCATTAGCCGAGGTACCCATTTGAGGCTCGCGCAAAACCTGACCACCTCTGGGGTATCTGGCCGCTCCCTTCATTAGGTGACTGCCTTCTTGGATGGTAGAGAACAGTGTGTACGAGTTGGCCGAGGCCTATAGTTTAGGCAGTCTGTCCTCAGCGGCGTGCCGCAGGGCTCGGTCCTTGGACCGCTGTTGTTCTCTACCTAGGTGTATGACGTAACCACGGAGCTTGAGGTACCATCGCTGATAGTGCTGGTGGTCTGAAGCTGTGGTGCCTTGTCGATGTTCCTGTGAGTTCGGAAGCTATTCAGCTAACATTGGATAAGCTCTGGGTCGGGTCTACTGTATAGTTACTGCTCATAAATCAGGCCAAGTGCTCCGTTTTTCGAATTGAAGGAGGTTGTCCTCCTACGTAGTACTTGGACGGTGGGGTAGGACTCCCAACTGTATCTATCCAAGTTGATCTAGGCGCCGTACGCTCTTCGGCTTTACACTCTGGCGACAACTGGAAGAAGGCCGCAAGCAGAGGTTTCCGCATGTTATGGTTACTACGACGTCCTTTCGGAGTCTTGAAGGAGAGCAGGTTCACGAGACTGTTCTTGGCTTCCGTTCGGCCTCATCTGGAATACGACGTCCAAGCTTGTCCGCTCTGCCTCGTCCGGGACAAAATGGAGCTAGCGAGGGTTTTACGAGTGGGTACTAGGTTAGTCGAAGGATTACGGGGACGGACGTACCCCGAGCGTCAACTTAGTTTGGGAATGCATGCAATGCATTACCGGAGGCTTAGAGGAGACTTAATCCTAACCTACCGTATCAGCTGGGAAGGTCGGTCCAGAGTTATCTGGGCTATTCAGTCTCACCAGACTTTTCTACGCGCTCACTCCTTGAAGCTGGACAAACCGCGGTCCGATCTGATTAGGGCGAAAATCCGGCTGTCAGCGAGTGCTGGAATATGGTTTTGGAAAGTGGTATCAGGGACTGTACGGTTAAGGGGTTTGAGCGACAACTTGAAACCATTGGGCGGCAACAGGAAACCTTTCCATTATCCTGAGTAACGCGCAGCTTGGTATTTCGATTTGCTTTTCCCTACGTTTCTTCACGCATCAGTAATTTTTCTTAGTTTAACTGTACACCCTTATCCTGTACCATCAAATTCCATTCCTATCCTTTGATTACTTCACGTAACTGCCACAGCAGGTACTTCTAGGGCAGAAATGTGGACATTAACTGGGTGGTCAGGGTGCGATACAAGTGGTTCGTTTTAGATCCATCAAAAACTTTGAGCACTTCATCAATTTCTGGCTCATGGATCCACTCAACATGGAACACACACAGGATTCTCATATCGTTTCAGTCCCAGCCCAGTTCTCGATTGCGGATTGCCTGCTGCGTATCCGCTCACAAATTTCGAACGTGAAAGGATCGAGATAGTTCAAAGGCGTGGATGCAAATCCGTTCCAGATTTGCGGCACTTATCTTACCTCCTACGGCTTCAAAGGCTGAAGCTCTTCACATTGGATTATCGTCGCCGCGGAGATATGACATACACTCGAAGTATTCTACGAGGTGAGCTGGGGAGTGAGCTGCAATCGCTCTTTCGTCTCGATACGAAGTGTGTAACTAGGGACCACCGGTGGCAACTATTCAAACCGCGGCGACTCCGATCTGCCCCTATCCACCCGGGTAGTGGATTACTGGAACAGCCTGCCGGAGGCTGTCATCGATGCGGACCCACAGGCCACTTGACCCTCTTGGGTGGCAACACGAAACCTTTCTATTTTCCTGAGTAACTCGCATCTTCGTACTTCGATTTTCTTTTCTCTACTTTTCTTCACGTATTGGTATTATTTTCTTATTTAAGTGCACTTCCCTATTCTGTACCTTCGATTTCTCTTCCTATCCTTTGCTTACTTCACGTGACTGCCACAGCAGGGACTGCTAGGACAGGAAACGTGGGCATTAACTGGTTGGCCAGGGTGCGATACGGGTGTTTCCGTTTTAGATCCATCAATAACTGAGCACTTCATCAAGTCCTGGCTCAACGATCCACTCAAGATGGAACACTCACGGGATTCTCCTATCGTTCTAGTCCCCATCTGAACTGAACTGAACTGAACTGACCGTTGGATTCCCACTCTCTGTGTGCGCAGGGTTTCTGCCGCCCGCAATACCACAATAGCGGTCTTCTGCGGAACCTAGTTAAGCAATGATCAGAGCAGTTCGCCTCATTCGGGAAGTGACGGAGCTGACAAAGGAACTTTCTTCTGCTCTCTACCAACCAGTGAAGCAATGAACCAATGAAGTTGACCTTGAAATGACCTGACCTAATTTGCCCTGACCTTGGATGAGCTTTTCTTTTTGTCGTTCTGCGTTCCGTTTCCGCTGGTACGATCTTTCTCTTTTCTACGATTGTGATATCATCTCTCGTTTGCCCAGTTTATTCGGATTAAATCTTCAACTTCTTCAAGAATACACGCGGACAATGCCACAACCGTCTATCCGGTGATTTTGCTTTGTTTCTGTTTTATTCTTTACAGCTCTTTTTTCGCTGCTAAACCTGAGCCCAATACCTTTGATGAGTAAGCCATGCTTTGCTTTTTGACCTTATTGACAGCGGTGAAAACCCGGTTGAAGAAGTAATTCGCACTCCACAATCAAATAACAGGAGAAGGATTATACTAGAAAGCGATGAATCATCTTGCGACGACCAAACTGACGCCATTACTAAGTCAGGTGAGTGCTCGGTCCATCTTAGTATGAAGGACCAAAGTTTCCACTCTTCAGTCCGTCAAACCAGAGGCTTACAGCAAGTCACCACGCTCGCCTGTCCCAAAGGTAAACCGTTTATCTTCATGTAATTTGTGTCAGCTTCCCAGAGTGGACGCGAATACATTGAATGTGAGTTGTTTGCTGACCTCTCCGAAGGTGGACAACAATCAGAAAACCACTTTGTCTATATGTACAAGTAGTTCTGGTTTTTCAATACATTTGACTCTGCATAGCGAAGCCAGGTGTCTACACTTCAAGACTTTCTGACACTTCAGTATCCGCCACACTCTCTGACGAAGATTCTCGTTAGTTTGCTTAATGATTTACATTATTTTACTACCCTTACAGGTTGCCGGGCCGATCAGTACAGTAAAACGTATGTTGTGCTACCTTGTCTTCCTTTTCCAGTTTCGATCCATCTAAAACTGACTATCATCCACTCAAAGATGCTAGTTGGAGTAAGGGCTCAAGGTAACAATTCTATACACTTTTATTCCATAGTGTTCCTTACTTGGCTCTTGCGAAGACGTTTGAATTCATCGAATCGACTTCTGGGAGGTGAGTAGGATGTTCATGATTTTACCGTCCTAGGCTCAAAATAATTGAGTTGTTGAGCAACTTCTTCCGATCAGTTGGTGTCCTCTCACCAGCAGATTTACCAACTTGTGTTTACTTGTGTCTCAATCAACTGGGGCCTGCCTACGATGGCGCCGAGCTTGGTGTCGGGGAAACCATCCTACTTAAAGCTCTCGGAATGACTACAGGTGAGGAAGTAAGAATGATAGCTTTGGCTAGTCTTCCGCTACTTTATGATTTTCTCCTCACTTTGCGTATGTGCTAACTTCAGTTTCCTTCCTTATTCGAAGCAATTATGGCAACACAGTATTTGTGCTGTTGGGCGGATAGGAACATTTGACAATTACTCACAAGTGTCATGCCACTAACAATGCAGTTCAGCTTTGGGTAGGGCACTTTATCATTTATAAGGCACGCAAGTCCCTGTTCTTTAGCCTCCAGCACTCTGCAGTCTATGACTGATAGTTAGGCTCTTGATCCGTCGCAACGAGACTGGACCTTAACGTGGTGCGACCGTTTGCGTACCTCATTGACCCATTGAGCTATACTGGGTGATGCCTCCGAGCATCTTGAGAGCTACTCCTACCAGGTTGGTCAATGGTGAGAGGTCAGACAAACTCAGTCTCCTGGTCCTCCAGGTTGGGGGTTTGAAATGGGATGGCGTCCATTTCTGTAAAACTAAATCACTGCCACCCCGCTGCTTCGCGGACAGGCTGTTGAGCCAAAGGCTTTGGATGAGGACCCTAATCGTCCTCCTATCTAGGTCTGGGCGCCCTGGCATTATCTCAGCCCACATACAACCATGACATTTTCTTCAAATATAAACTTCATCCTGCATCGGCCGTCGCGCATATTATCAAGGGTCGCCGTATCTGCTGCATACAGCAGGGCGGATAAGCGAAAACATGCTACTGCTGGCGCCTCCTTTCTTTTCCACCTTTTTCTCTTACTCCCATCCCGGCCCACATTACTAACCTTCCTTCTATAATTCCCAGCCTAATTGACAGCAACCGAAGTGCTACTGGAGTAGTACCATCTGCAGCCCCCATCCCACAGCATCTATCGGACGCTTATCGGCAAAAGTCCCTTATAAGGCCACGCTGTCCCGTTTCCACTGTGCCGAAAGCATGCTACTGCTGGTGCCTCCCTTCTTTCTTTTTCACCTTTTTCTCTTACTCCCATCCCGGCCCCCATTACTATCCTTCCTTCTATAATTCCCAGCCTAATTGACAGCAATCGAAGTGCTACTGGAGTAGAACCATCTGCAGCCACCATCCCACAGCACCTATCGGACGCCTATCGGCAAAAACCCCTTATAAGGCCACGCTGTCCCGTTTCCATGGCGACATTCAACGTCCGCACTCTAAGACAAACAGGTCAGCAGGCTGCACTCGCACGCACCTTGGACACACTGGGTGTTGTGTGTCCGAAACTAGGATTAATGACCCTAACGGGGTTATTGAATTGACTGCACCCGGCTTATCCTCTCGTTATTGGTTGCACGCATCCGGAGACGCCGATGTGGCACTCACGGGTCAAGCTGGTGTAGGTATCATTCTCAGCTCCAAGGCTGAGTCATCGTTGGTTGATTGGATTCCGGTGAACAGCCGTTTATGTGCAGCCCGTTTGACGACATCAGCTAAGGTGGATTCGCGAAGTAAAACAAAACGCTGTTTGTTTGTGATTTCTGCTTATGCTCCCACCGACTGCAGTTCTAATGCAGTCAAGGACACTTTCTATCACGAACTGAACACGCTGCTACGCAGTGCTACTAGTTCAGATATTATAGTACTTGCAGGGGATATGAACGCACAAGTAGGGCGTCTGATCTCTTCAGAAGCTCAGCTGGGTGGTAAGTATGGACTTAACGCCGAACGGACTGACAACGGCGAGCGTCTGCTGCAACTGTGTGCGGAGCACCAGTTGTTCTTACTAGCACTGCTTTTAGACACAGTGGGCGCCGAAGTGCCACTTGGCGTCCACCTGTAGCTGGCCAGCGATGGACCCAAATTGACCACATAGCCATAAGTTACAGGTGGCGCGGTTCCATTCTGGATTGCCGCTCGTACTGGACTACCTGTGTCGACTCTGATCATGCCTTGGTGCGCTGTCGTTTCTCCATGAACTTTACCGGAAGGCGCACAAAGCGTCTCCCTCGATTGGCAACAGAGATATTGTCCCAGCCTTCTGTCAGGCAAGCCTATCAAGAAGCACTGCATAGCGAACTCTCGCTGTCTTGTCCTAATGATACTGAACTTCAGTGGAATAGGATCTAGGCCACTATGCACGACGCAGGAGCATCTGCTTGTGGCACTATCAGTCGTCATTGCACCAGTCACTGGATATCCGAGAGGTCGGTGAACCTTTTGGAAGCTAGAAGACAAACCCGTTGCCTCCCGCCTCCCGCCCGAGCGCCAGCTCCCGCCCGCGAAAGCCCGGCCGGAACCCGCAGGAAGGCCCGCCATGGACCGCCCCCGAAGCCGGGCCCGAGCGGGCCCCGGGCCCGGCCGCCGCCCGTCCGCGACCCCAGGCCGTTCCTCCCGGTCCCCGAACACTCCCGTACATGGCCTACCTCCCGACAAGCACCCTGGGTTCGGTCGCCCGTACCCCGCCGGGTTTCTTCCCAGAGACCGGCCCAGACGCGCCGCTCCCGCGGGCGCGCCTCCCAGCCCGGCACCGCCGGCCGGGTCCGCGGGACTCCCGCCGCCCGGCCCTGCTCCCGTCCCGCGGCGCCCTCGGCGCCGAGCTCCCGCGCAGTGCGCAGTCCCCGCGGGGGGCGACCTCCCGACCGGCCTGCCCGCGTCCGAGCTCCCGGGCCTCCCGCGAAGATACCCGCCGGACCCGCCGACCCCGCCCTCCCGACACGCCGCGGCCAGTAGTACTCCGGGGTAGCCCGGCCTCCCGATCCGAACGGACCTCCGTCCCGACTCCCGGCCCACTCCCCGCGCCGCCCGCGAGCACCCTCGGGCGCCAGCCGCGCATCCCGGGCTCCCCCCCCCCCGGGCCCCGGCCGGGGCTCCACGTACCGCCCACCTGCCTCCCCCCAGCACCTCCCCCCGTGAACGACGTGCCCAGTGGAGGACCTCCCGGCTCGGACCGCTCCCGCCGCGGGCCCACCCGGACCTCCCCGGGACCTCCCGCCCCGCCCGGCTCCCCCCCGAGCCCGCCCCGGAGCGCCACGGGGCGCACCCGCCGCCCCCCGGGCCCGACTCCCGCCAGGGCGGTCCAGGCCCGAAGTCCCGCCGCCCGGACACATCCCGCCGAGAGACCCGCCACCCGTCTCAGCCCCCGTTTCCGACCCGCAGCCAAAGCGGAACCCTACCCCGGCGCCCCGGCGCACGCCTGGATCAACCTCCCGCGCGGGCCCGGCCCGGCTCTCCCGCGCCGGGCGTCCCGGCGGCCCCGCCCTCCCGGCTCGCTCACGCTCCCCTGGAACGCGGCCGGCCGGAGGGCCGCCCGGGGCTCCCGCCCGCGGCGCGCCGGCGCCCCGACCCGCGCGCAGTCCCCGAGCCCCGGCCGCCTTCGTAGCCCCCGTCACCCGTACCCAGCGACCCGCGTATGCGCCCGGCCCCGAGATAACCTCCGACCGTCCCCGCGCCCGGAGGCTCCCGCCCGACCCGAGCCCCGCCGCCCCAGGGCCCCGGCACCCGGTCCCGGGCGACCCCGAGCCCACAACCTCCCGCGAGTCGCCAGCCCGGGTCCCGCGCGGAGGACCCACCCTACCTATCCCGTCGTTACCCGCTTTCCCCCCGCCTCCCTCGCACGGCGCCCGCGGCCCGAGCCGACGCCTCGCGCCCGGGCCGCGCCGGCGGGTCCCGGGACTCCCGCCCGGCCCAGGGCTCCCGGCCTGCCCGCGACGGGCCGATTCCCGTCGACAACCGTACGTCCCGGCCGTGATCTTGGTTTCTGAAACAATGTGACCAGACCGGGCTATTAGGCGTGAACTAAAGCGGAGCCTACGTGCTGACAAGGAAGCCTGGTGGACCAGTCGGGCTCAAGAAATGGAGGAGGCAGGAGCAGTAGGCAATTACCGCAAGCTCTTCCAGCTAATACGCACCACTGGTCCGAGAAAACCAGGCGTCAGTGAGACAATCAGGGACAGCGCGGGTGCGCTGATACACAATAAGGAGCGCCGTATGGCTCGTTGGGCTGAGCACTTTGAACATCAGTTCAGCTGGCCCCCTGCTCCCGGACCTCTTCCTACTCAGGTGATGCAGGACGAGCCATGGACGGTTAGTTTAGAGCCTCCGTCGGAGGCCGAGGTCCGAAACGCGATCACAGCCCTCAATCGTTTTCGTGCCGCTGGCCCGGATTCCCTACCACCTGCACTATTTAAGGACGGAGGTGAGGTCCTCTGTAAAAGAACTGACCACCCTATTCGAACGTATCTGGAACGAAGAGAGAGTGCCGGTTAATTGGAGCGAATCGATTATAGTGGCAATATACAAGAAGGGCAGTCGCACAGACTGTGCGAACCACAGGGGTATTAGCCTAACGCCAGTTATGACAAAATTACTGGCCTCGATTATCGTTCGTCGCCTCACTGCAGAACGGGAATCTCGGATTAGGGAAGAGCAGGCCGGTTTCCTCCCAGGACGTGGCTGTATAGACCATATATTTACTTTGCGGCAGGTGCTAGAGCAGCGCCACGCATACCGCAGACCGACAATAGCTGTGTTCCTCCATTTCAAGAGTGCGTTCGATTCAGTCGATCGATCGATTCTGTTCGATATACCTGCGCGGAAAGGTGTTCCCACGAAATATGTGAACATCCTTTGTGCTCTATACTCGAACACTAGAGGCCGCGTCAGGGTCTATGGTGCCCTATCGGATAGCTTTTCGACTACAAGTGGCGTTCGTCAGGGTTGTCCGATTTCCCCGTTTTTGTTCAATTTCGTCGTGGATTCTATCATGGAGTGTTCCCTTGCGGAATCTCACGATGTGGGTGTTGAAGTGCTGCCTGGTGAACGGTTAGTCGATCTTGATTATGCGGACGATATCGTCTTGCTTTTCGACAATATTGAGGCAGCACAATCAACCCTGAATAGCCTATCCAGAGTGGTCCCATTATTTGGTATGCACTTCGCACCTTCAAAGTGCAAAGTGTTGCTGCAGGACCACCAGCCACTCGATGACCCCTTGACGCTTGCTAACGAGGAACTCGAGGTGGTTGATCAATTCACTTATCTTGGCAGCTGCATCAGCAATGATGTGCGCATAGAAACTGATGTGAGCTCACGCATTGCAAAGGCCAGAGCTGCCTTCTTGAACCTGCGTCATCTTTGGCGACAGAAGGGAGTTTCCCTCCGTCTGAAAGGCCGTGTATACAAGTCCACAGTGAGGGCCGTTCTGCTGTATGGTAGTGAAACTTGGCCCCTTCGGTCTGAAGATCTGAGACGCCTTCAAGTCTTTGATCATCGTTGTTTGCGAAGCATTGCTGGTGTCGGATGGCACCAGCGTGTCCGCAACGATGATGTGCGTAGGCGAGTACTAGGTGGTGATGATCATGCTAGCTCCCTAGAACAACAGATAGCACTGAATAAGTTGCGTTGGCTCGGGCACGTGCTACGCATGCCTGGTCACCGCTTACCCAGGAGGGCCTTGTTCAGTCTACCAGGTGTAGGATGGCGCAAGGCTCGAGGTGGACAGAAGTTGACTTGGCAGAGGGAAATGAAGTCATTGACTACCAAACTGGGTGCCGTTGGTCCGTCTCGCCTTCTGGGTTGGAGTCCACGTGACTCACCTTGTGCTTGGCTCGAGACTTTACAGGACATGGCTCGCAACCGACACCAGTGGCGCGTCTACTGCCGTCTCCTAATCGGATTGTCTGTTTAAAGTGTGTTTGGTGCTGAGTTATCTGCGGGGTAATGGCTGATTATGACGCGTGGCAGTGAAAGCCGCAAGGAAGCTGTCTCGCCGATGCCGCCTTATCTTTGCACGATAGCCAGCTGTTTGTGACGGAATGTTGTCTACACAAGGTGTAGGCGCCTTGACCCTGAATGTTTGCTTAGGGCATTAAGGTTTTCAGGTGAGTCCCCCTTCTCTCCCTCTTCTTATTCTTTATTTCATAGGTCCTCATGGTTGTATGGCAGCGAAGCATCAGTTCAAATGGCTGATGTACTGCTGTTGATGATGATGATGATGATAGGCTCTTGACATTGACTTTCTGGGGCAGGTCTGGCTATGTTAGGTTCTATAAGACTAGGAAATACTAGCCCGAGGCAATGCGCATAACCGAGCTCAGATAACATGGAGCAAATGAGGTCGGGAACAACAGTATATACGAGAGGCGACGAAAAGGCGGGGGTGGATGAACGGACAGGAGCGAGCGTCAGCACAGTAAATCGCTGAGCAGAAAATTGCTGAACCGGATACAGACAAACATCGCCGTAGAGTGATGAGCAGTGAAACAACGACTAGTGTACAACTGAACAATAATACAAATGTACTTAGAAGATAAGGATTGTCTTTTCATTCATTATACACGTTAGCTACAGGTGGAAAACACTTCGGTTATTGTGCCACAGTACAAAAGTAAGGAAAACATTCATCAGACGTACGCCGGTGGAGTCACTATTACCGGATGGGCCTCTTTCCGGACAGCTGACAGCCGGCTGTGCTGCTAAAGAAAGTTTTATTATGCATACTAAATGAGATCGTGGTTGGATGTGAAGGCTAAACGGAAGGGGAGGAACAAATAAACGCAAACTCAATTGTGCTCGACTGCTAGCCATGTCAATAAGTGTGTCCAGTTGAATGTGTTCAACAGCCTCCCGTCCCAAACCGGCAAGCAAACCAGGGTCTCCGGCGCTTTAACCTTTGTGTTACTCACACTCCTTTTACAATGGTATTGAAGCAGGAACACAAGCGATTTATGTTTTCACGGGTCATGAATCAGAGACAGACATCAGCAGTACTCCGGTACACCGTACCGACACTTCGCTGCCACATAACCACCACTGGTCGCACATGGGCTAAGGTACTGCGAAGAACACCCTGCCACTACGCAGACTCGAATCCGCTCTGTCGGATTACAAGACGAGCTTGTTACCTTTAGGCTACGGACCGGCCATGGTTCACAAGGTCACAGCGATAAATTTCAGTAAGCTTTTAACATTTCTGGAAACATCAGGCCGACATTTATCTAGGCCTCTTTTGTAAGTTTCCACAGTATTACATTTTATCTAGACAAGAGGGATGCTTGTTCCAACTGCAAAATTCGCAGTTTCGCTTCCATAACTAACCTTAATCTGCTCCTCGAGCTTAGATTGATCACCCATCAAATGGTTATAAGTAAAAATGTTAAACAGATCGGCAGACTTGAGACCGCTGAACTCCTTTATAATCTTGGACACCCAGCAGCCCCTCTTAATCTGTGCAGCTTGACAGTAAATGATCCCTAGCTCTTGAAGCGTTTCTCATGCCTTCAGACGATGGACTCCCATCATCCCAGCCACCAGTTTTCATAATTTTTCTGCACAAACAGCATCTTTCCAACGATACGGTGCCTAGGCCTGTACATAGTATTGCAATTGAGCTCGTATCTCCGGTTTATATAAGGGTGGGAAAACCTCAAATTTAACGCTGCATAACCTTTTGCGGCAGAATAACTCCTGCCGCGTCATGTGGGTGTCACACTGACACTGTGCTGAGGGTTTGAATGTATGCGTCACATTGTTGTTTACGCACCGTGCCTCACACTACACTGTCAAGGTCTGGCGGAAGTTTGCGCTGTAGTCCAATCGCTAATGGAACTCAGCAACTGACATTGGCGTTAGGCCGTAAGCTCCACTAGGTCGACCGATTCGTAACAGTGGTTATTGCAATCTCACGGATGCTAGTTTTGTTAGATAGACACATATTCGTGGCTTTTGGATGTTCGCATGATGTGACCACCTTGATCATTCCACCTTGTTCCTTTCATCTGTCTTTAATCATAGTCTTCCATTTGTAATCGCGGTTATATGCTATCGATCCTCGAGGGCCGAACACTGCCGTTTGTTGCTACTGCTGGTACTGTCGTTACTTTGCGGACACCTGCGCTCATGCTTTTACTTTGGGTGAATTGGTGCGGAAGCACGCTGTGTTATCGAACTCTGCGTTTTTCAACTTATGTCACTTTATCATAACTTAGTTCTCTTCCATCAGATATTGTGCTAAAGCTTTGAAGAATGCGTGTGACCGATTACAGGCAGTTCCCAATGTGTCTCTTTAGTCAAACTCCTTTATTGGACTTGCTCCCCATCGCATTGCTAGTCAGACTATAGAGCCCCTTAAGCGAAACTTTTATGTAACTCACTGCCTTGTGGGTCACTGTTGAGTCAAATGTTGGAAGTATGGCACTTTGAATAAGACCTCTCAGAATGGGCAGTCAGTTAGCATCATCTGCTCCTTTGATCCCATCGGCAATACCCCTTCTCCTGCTTTTCACTCCCCTCCCATCCATCTATTCGCCGCTATATATTTACTACGCACGGTGTTGTTAATAGGCACATAGGAATGTCTTCCGTATCATCAACATCTCATTTATGTCATGCTACCTGGATTTCCCATGTTTGCGATTATCCCATCGGCATCTTTTATGACCAAATATGTGCTTTCTTTGTTCAGGTGTTGGTTTGGACCACCTAAAGTCTTCTCTAAAACGTCAAGGAGATCTTGGGTCACTCGCAGAGGTGAGCACGCGTTCTAATCATGATGTAGTTGTCATCCGCATGATTTCTTGAGTCCTGAACAGGCCAGTTTATCGCCTCACGTCGCTCATTGTAGGCGCCTTTTTCCTACTTATACATCGTTTTTTGTACGATGACCGAGTCATTCTAAAACTCGCGAGTTAAACATTTCTACTTGCGTAAATAAGCACTTTGTTCGATGCTAGTTAGCCGCTGCAACTTACATACTGACCCTTGTGCTCGTTTTGGTGTGGTTGTTTGAATTGTGTTCATTATTTTCCTAATGACCCTTATTAATTTTTATAATGAATGTGGTTAGTATGGCATTGTCCCACGAACGTGCGGTTGCTGTTCTGAGAAGTCGAATGCAGCCTAGCGTATTTCATCAATCACCGTCTTCTTTGGTATCTGTTGGTCACGATCATTTGGTAATATCATTGCCGTACCTTTGGAGCTTCTCTTATTATTGGTCAAGAGCACTTTTTCAACTCTCACTTTCCACTTTCCATCACAGAATATCCGTTCTCGCCAAAAGACAATGTTTACGCCGAAACCATTGACAGTTTCAGTGGTATTCAATAAATTGAAGGAGATATCTCTGATGACTGGGAATGCGGTATGTCCGACTTCTTTCCTTGCTCCAGGCGCCTTATATTACCTTAGCGTCTCCACCTCTATCACACCATTGCATGTGTGAAGACAACCGAGCGCCGACGTCAGTGCTGTAGCGCATCTTAGCCACATGTTTCTCAACCTTTTTAAGCCACCCTTTATGCATGTGTCTCTGTTATTGATTTCTCGGTTAGCGAATCACCTAGCACAGGTGCGGTCACTTGTTTTTCTAACAGTTGCTAAGTTGTGCATCCGAATTGTTCGTGCTTTGTACGCTCCGTCGAACGATAAACTTCTGAAGAGTTAGCACACTTTACTGCCCCCTAACCATCATGCGCATATGGTTGCTTCAGATGATGTATTGATAACTGTCTTGACATAGCTAGTGATATGACCGCTTGCACTGCAATGTCTTTTACCTGTTCGCTGTTTATCGCGACAAGATCATAACATTGCAAACTAGTATGCAAGCCTCCGTCCGTTAAATTATGTCGCATGGCACTGCTCCATGCCTATTCACTCCTCCGTATTCTGGGCAACTGATCAAGTTCATTCCCGAAATAGTCCTCAGCAGTACGCCGGCACGCAGTACCGACGCTTCGCTGCCGCGCGACTACCGCCAACCGCACGTGGGCTAAGGATACTGTGAGGGTCGCCCGGTCCGTACACTGGTTCGAACCCGCGCTCTCGGATTAGAATGCATGGTTGTGATCCTCAAGGCTTCGGGCCGGCAAATCATTCCTACAGACTCTGTCTCTGTCAATATCAAACACATATGTTTATTGCTTGGATCTGTTAGCCTTTCGAGCCTGAATAAGCGCCAACTTGCTTCATGTTGCCCATGGAAGTGTGATTTCATCACACGCTTCCTTACTCTCCGAATGAGGCCACTAAAGCTAACCAAGAGTTCTCGGCCGTCATTCCGAACCGGTTCTTTTGATGTAAAAACTTCTTTCAGTGCAAGTGAAATCAATGAGAGAGACTGGATTTGATTTGACGGAACATTAAAGATTTCCCCTTTTCTAGCTCGCTTGGGTCCAAGTAAGCTACCAAGTTCCAGTTTTCACTACAATGTTAAATGTGATTCTTTCAGTTTCAGTACATTAGCAAGCATTTTGTGAGCCACCTTAGCGGAGAAAGCCACTTTCGGCCTCCTAACGTAATTTTGTTTACTTATAGCAACAGTAGTTGTACCAGAGTCCGTATCATGTAGCAGCTTTGAAGTACTCTCGTTAATACATAAGCACAGTAATGAACCATTAGCTGGTTTTAATATCTCTGCTTGGGACAGCAGCACCTGACAGGAAGTCTACACTCGTAGACACCCTAGACGGACTTGATCTTGGCTTAGTGAGACGGTCCCCATATCCCTTCGACTCACTTGGCATTACTAACTGCTGTACTCGGGCTCCTTGATACGTTGGGCGTATGGACTCTACTGGCTCCCCATTTTTGGACTTGGGAATGGGACGGTACTCATTTCTGTGAAATTGAATCATTACCCTACTCCAGCTACCTTATAATCAGGTTTTTAATCCACTTTAATTGAGAGCCCTAATCACTATCCGTTACTATTTACCGGACATTCCAAACTGTCATAACTTAGGCCAAAGTCCGAAGTACGCGTCTTCTATTTAAGTGCGTTTACTTGTGCAACTTGCAATACACGGTGCTCTCCATGAGTAGTCACTCTCTATTCTTATAACTTAGCCGCCCCTATGGGGCTTCGTCTGCGTTCCCTTTCAGTACACTCGAATGATCTCGTGTGATGTTGATTTGTGATTATCGAATAGATCGATGTGGGACAACCGTGTGCTTGGGTTTTGATTGATCGAGCTCCTATCGATTTGATTTAACAATCGCACTCGTGCATTCCGGACACGTCAGTGGTCAGTAATCAGATAACCGCAGTGTCTTCACTCCCTTCTCATCGGACATTGGCAATTCATCAGTGGTACACAACAGTCTGTGGGGTACAAGCTCTTCTCTTATTTGTGTGGAGTCTGAGCCTCACCGTTTTTCTCTAACTGTCTTGGGGCACCGTTTTCATGTCACCATCTGCTAGCTCGCCACTGATCATGCATCTTGGGATTCGTCGGAACTCAGCTGCAGTCGAACTATGCTGATAAGCTCGAAAAGACAAATGTGCATTTTCCTTTTTGTACCCCGTGCAACCTACATTAGACGAGTTTCCGTATACTTTTGACTTCACTCCCAAGCATGATTTCACCCATACGTTCTGTGCCAGGCTTTTAACTAGATTTGGGTGCTTCGGAGAAAGCCCATCGAAATGAACAGCTGGGAAATATTTGCTTCCCAACACTTCGTTGATACCACGATTTCTGTTCGAGATTTTCTTTCTACCACGATTAACCCGCAATAAGTTGTCACTGCCCCCGTTACTACCGTCAACCGTTTACCTAAACCATCTTCCGCAATAGACACATTATTTAATGTCAGGTTTTTTAGTCCACGCGCCATTAGATTTATCAACTGGTAGCTATTGTTCTCATTTTCCATTCTCTTTAGTTATATGTATGCCGTGCTCTGGAGGCATATGTACGATACTTCGGCTCCTTAACGCATCTTCGACTTAGATCTAGGATGGTCTTACTCCACCTTATCTGTTTGGGCGAAATGAAGCCTCTAGTCACTGGGTTTGGCCCTTCTCGCACTCCGTGTTAGGCTTCAGGTCTCTCCCTTTGATTACCTCAAAGCGTTTCAAGGCTTGGATTGTAGTCGGACTCCATGACGGTATCTTAGTCGGACTGGTCGCTCGAGATGTGTATGATGTTACACTGATTAGGGGAGACATCGGATGGTAGATGCCACATGGAGACTATTTCGCTGATGACACTGGGACCTCGTTGTAATTGAAACTGCAGTCACCTTTCTCCCTGAAATCTTGCCTATGACTTTCACATGAGGCCTCCACACTAGCCTCCGTTTTTTCTCATTCATAGAGTCCCTATGGTTACGTGATAACATAAGTTCACTACCAGTTACGATGGAATAGACTGACGTTGTTAACTTATGAATGGAGATAATAGGTGCCTGGTCGTGATTCTCGCAGCGGCATGCGTCTGCTGGAATTCAGTTCCTTTCTGGAAGAAAACACAAGCGAAAACGTATACAAATTAGCACCGTCATCTTGCCAGTCTCTCGTACCTGCTTGCAGTCACATTTAGCCTCAACAGACAACCCTATTATTCAAGTCGCCCTCAATATGCGCGTTACCTTAACAGTTTTTGCGTCATCTGCTGACTGGTCCTTTCTTCAAGTATGGGGCGCTCGTGCTTGCCTACCCTTGGGTCATGCGCTTGTGAATGGATTGCGGATTTGTTCTGCGTACTTATCTTTCTGGTTCCCACCAGATACGGAGAACACATGTGTGGTATGGCACAATCCACCTACAGGTGAAGTTGCACAACGACTGACTGTGGTTGCAGTCACAGACCAATCCCGAAGCAGATGTCGTCAAGTGTTTTTACTACTCTAGCCGACTAGTATAGCTACGAAGTGACTGGCCCCTCACCATTACCTCTTCGTCTTTGATCAACTGCTTTGTGTTTCCACCTCGTTCTCACTGTAATTACCATGCACTCTCGGAGTTTGTCACTATCCAAAACTTCTCATCACTTTCCTTAAAATTTTAATTCACACTGGTAGCATTCTAATCGTATAAACGGATTCTGGTTCCGATTTTGATGACCTGGTTTCACTCTTAATGATTTTGACAATTATTGATGCAATTTGCAGTGATGTTATTGCTTCACACAGTGTTGAGAAATTTATGCAGTTTGATTCTAAGCTCACGAATTTTTCTGGCTGTATGTGGTGATCACTTTGAAGCACGCACTGTTTGAGTGGACTATAACATGCGATCTCTCAACCAGAACAGCAATTCAGTTTGAAGTGTACCATTACTAATTTTGTCAGTGAGCGCATCTTGTGTCGGAGTCTGCTAATCTATAGGGGTTTCCCCGCGTTCGCTTCCCCTTGCCACTGCCGAATCTGTTGTGTCGGACTCCACGAGAGTAGAGAGTAGGCCAATCCGCGGTAAGAAAGAACGAGTAGGGTGAGTATGCAACAAACACGAGTTTATTCCGGACCAAAACGTGAACCAGAAATGAGTTAGCTTACATCCTGCAGCCTGCGCTCGTCTTCGTTCAATCGCTCATGGGAGTTGATTTCAACTCAACACTATTATGTTGGTTGATATTTTTACGGTGTGTTTCAGTCTGACCATTGGGCATCAGCTCGTTCAGGTCTTTGAGGCAGATGATTAAGTGACCATAATTCACAAGGTCCATTGGTCCGCGCTCGAGCAACCGTACCGTCCTAGTACATCTGAAGCAGACGAGCTTTAGATGTCTTCCGCTCCCAACACACTATTCTACGGCTGGTTTCAGGCTTGTTTGCACTCGTCACGCAGAGATAAAAAGACTAAAACCCGCGACGTTTTGTGTGTCAATCGACGCCTCAACTCATCCGTGGCTTAGGGCAGGTGCTTCGGTTGACATCCCAACGTCCTGGACTCGAGCCGCAGTGTTACCACTCTTTATGTAGTAGTTCTGACGCTTATCTATACTGGGGTGCGCCGCAACAATCCTCGCATGCCTACGCAACATGGAATGGTCAATCTATGGAATAAAATCGTGGCCCTTAGTGTCCACACCATGGGCGATGCAGCTTCGTAGCCTACATCAGCTGCATTCAAAGAGAGTGTACTTGCAAGTCTAACAAACCACCATGTAGTTATTTTGGGACACCCATTTCCAGTTTTAAACTTGGTTACGTTTGCACGAGGTATGAGCCCGTAGCCTAAATGGTCACAAGCCTGCCTTGTAGTCCGAGAGCGTGGGTTCGAGACCATGTAAGGGACCGGGCAACCCTCGCAGTATCCGTGGCTCATGCTCGACTGTTGGTACTTGCTTGGCAGCGAAGCATTAGCACTATGTACCGGCATACTGCTGATACCTTACCTATTGGCTTTTTCATAACATTCTTTCCAGAGTGATTGCAGCCCCAGCGGTATCCAGTTTTGTTCTTTGATGTCATAGTTTGCCACTTTACTTTCCAGGCACAGGCAAAAAAGGTCGAACGTATCACCTCGCTCCTTGTTGCGTGTCGAGAGTGTGAGGCGAAATACCTCATACGCAGTTTGTCCGGCAAGCTGCGAATTGGGCTTGCAGAGCAAAGCGTACTGACTGCACTCGGCCAGGCTGTTGCTTTCACCCCCTTCCACTCGGTTGCCGCTTTGGCAGATTCGGAGAACTCCACTCTCCTGAACGTCAGTGTTGGATTACCTGCTGATGCATGGAAAAGCAGATTAGATGCTTGCGTAGCGAATGTCAAGAAGGCATATTGGTGAGTACGCCTGCTTTACCTTTCCTGCGTCATTTCCCCTCAGCGTTAATTCTCCTCCACTCAACAGCAACACCATAATGCACACCCGTTTCTGTACGGCCGAATTGAGGACGGTCAGAAGATGTTTTAGCTATGCGCGCATCTTTTCACTCCTATCCTTTGGCGTATGTCGATTTTGTCCCCACCGTGTTTTTTCTTCCCCCTGCTTTTGTTTTTCGCGCATCTATGTCTCATCATTCTCTTGCTTCGTGGACCTCAATGCCCCGGCATACTCCTCAGCATTACGATGTGTCGACGGCGACTTGGTCAACTAACCATATTTGCTCAGTGGACACATTGTTGCTTGTTGTTCATACGATCGGTACTTGTAGACGGGTTCTCAATACATAAGATTCGTCGGGCTCCTCGCCATGCTCTCAGATGTGTCGTCATTCACAAAAGGCTCTTAGTCGTATCGGCATGGAACTCGCAGTGTGACACAGGTGACGCGCACTACGGACGCTGTTTGTTATCGCATTATTGTCAAGTGTTGATTAACAACTAAAACTATCATTGTATCTCAGAATAAACACGTACGATGAGAATCATACTTATCCCTCCTGCAGAAATCTGCTTGGAGTGCGCACCACCCAATTGTTGCTCTTGCAAGTTCTATGAAAGCATCACAAAATAATGTCAATGGTATATTTTCACCAGCTAATACATTCAGTGGACATCACTTCGTTCAATTTTACGACTGTTAATTAAAATTCCTAAACTCCTGCTCAGCTGCTCATATCCCTTAGCACTTGCGGAGTCCCCTTGGCCAGACGCGTCAACCCGACGCTAGCTTGGAGAGTCTACGCCATTTTTGTGCATTAGATATAAAAATAGTTGGTGAATGCCGGGAGATCTTCATACTTTGACTTCTTCCACAGGCATCAAAAATCATAACCCTATTGGTCTCATCTATGAACGTCACAATACGACACAGACGTTGAGCTTACTCATTACGTCAGCTAACACAGAGTCAAGCAGACATCCTGTAGTTTGAGTAAGACTGGAATGCGTTCGCCAAGACAGAGAGTTTAAAACTGCCGCTAGTGCCAAACATTCTGTGTTGAGTTTCGGAGTACCTCAAAACAGAACATGCATAGCCTTCGTCCAGTCGGCCACCGATATCAAGGGCTTGGTACTCCTGGCAGAGTACCAAGTTGTCCACTGTGTACTTTTTTAACTAGTCCAGTTCTCAGCACGATTCCGCTTGTAAAACCGTTTTAAGCTCTCTGTCTTGGCGAACTCATCCCAGTCTTACTCTGAACTACAGGGCGCTCCATTGCTGCTATTTTAACTGACACACTAAGAACATTCAACAGCCAATGCGACACAACATCGTCTAGTACGTAGTCATCACAGCTTGTATTCTCGAACGGCTGTAATACACTTGATATGTAGTAAAGAATACCCAACCATCCATGATACTGCCTATGCAAGGTATCTCGACGGTTGCCAACGCGACGTGGGTTTATTAAGTTCACCGTAATTAGCTTACAAGCTAGATAGACCAACCATTAATCCTGTAACGCACCAGCCGCGCGTTTCGATGAAGATTACCAGAATGCTTAAATTCAGAGTAATGGCGCGAGACAATGCTCTAAGCAGTTCACGGAACACTTTCTGTATCACTACTCCGAAACATCGATCATTCCTGACGTGCGATCATCGAAACTGAGCTTGCGGGGCCCCAGGTTCCCACTGACAACGAATAGCTGTCTAGATTGGTCGCTCGGATCACCTATGTTGGCATCTGTGTGACCTCCGGCGGTTAACTCACCGAAGAGCTTGTTGCGTGCATTGGTGTGGGTCACCTTCAACCATACGCAGAAGCGGCGAGGTGCCAACTTATCGATCACTGTGGTAATATTACTTGGTGCGCCCGGAACGGGTGTTGGAGGAACAGGGCGCCGCATTGTATCTAGGTCTCGGTGCCCGCGGAGTATCGCCCAGATCTAACGGGCGCAACAAATAATAAGCGTAGAAGTCTGCCAGTTGGCGTTTGTCAGGATACCTGTGCTATTACACTGTACTGTTTGGTAACACTGTGTCCACTTGGGTAAGACCTCAAGATGGTGGGTTTATGAAGGACATCAGTAGTACACCGGTACTTAGTACCGACTCTTCACCGCCACGCAACCATCACCAGTCGCTTGTGGACTAAAGACACTACGAAGGTCCCCGGTCCCCTATGTAGACTCGAGCCCGTAAACTCCGGATTACATGACGGGCGCGTGATGTTTTCGGCGACAAGCTTGCGAAACTAACTATAACGCGAAATGCCATAGTAGATTGGTAATAAAATTGTTTCGGTTTTAATCGTAAATTTTAAATGCATCTACTGTTGAATTTAATGTTTTCCTCCCAACAGCTCACAAGCGACATAGCTTAGTCACAATACGGGAAAGCACCGGACGCGTTTCGCCCTATTGGGGCTCGTCAGTGGTGGGCATTCCCTCCGTCTCCTCCTGGGGACTGAACCCATGACCGCTAAAGGCTGACGCTACATAGCCAGCAGCTTAAGCCACTAAGCTTTGGGGGACGACAACTGGGCTACGTACTTTGCAAGCCAACTGGGATATAGCGCGACCTATCTTCCACTGCCACGCAGGTTACTACCCTTGCAGATGACAGTGGCTAACCTCCAGGTCATGGCTCCCTCTCACTAGACACTACGTCCATAGCGTTTGAAACTAAACCACATTTTATATTGCTTATGAGTAGGAGGATTTTAGTTGTAATTTTACTATTTTCGTCCCAGCAGCTCACAAGCTGATAGCTCATCCACAATCCGGAAAAGCACCAGATGCGTTTCGCCCTACTGGGGCTCATCAGTGGTGCGCATTCCTTCGGTCCTCTACTGGGTACATTGCGTCTAGTGATGAGAGGAAGCTATTACCTGGAGGCTAGCCACTGTCATCTGCAAGGGTAATAACCCGCGTGGCAGTGGAAGATAGGTCGTGCTATATCCCAGTTAGCTTGCAGATTACGTAGCCCACTTTCCGTCCCCCATGGCTCAGTGCCTTAAGCTGCGGGCTATTTGGCGTCAGCCTCTAGCGCTTATGGGTTCGGTCCCCAGTAGGGGACCGAGGGAATGCCCACCACTGACGAGCCCCAATAGGGCGAAACGCGTCCGGTGCTTTTCCGGATTGTGGTGGAGCTATGTAGCCTGTAAGCAGCTGGGACGAAAACATTACCATTAAAAGATCCTCCTACTCATTACTATTATAAAATAGCCTCTTCTAGTTCGAATGCTTTGGACGCGGCGTCTATTGAGAGGATGTGTTTTGTAATCTGTCAACTGAGTGTCCGGAGACTTTTAAACATTGCACGACTATCGAACCAGAGGCAACTCTATATTTGATTCTTGTTTTCTTATTCCCCTCCACCCATAAGTAGCAGCGTTTTTCGTTGATCCCGTTCGACTTCATTTTTATACTTTCATTGTTCATGTTCTTACTGTCCTTGTTGTATTGTTATGCATACTGAACTGGTACGTGATAAGTTGGATCAACCGAATCGACAAGCGGTAGGTGGGCAAAAAGACAGTCAGATGACGTGCGCAATGTGACCGAAATTTTGCGGACCGAATGGACAAGGACGATTTTTCTCACTTAGCATTCAGTGTGGTTGTCGATACAGGAGGATTGGATTGATCCGAACAACTACGAACGAGCAATACTCACGAGACAATGAGCATAGTCTGATGGTACGGGATGTGCGTCGGCTAATTAACTGTGCAACGGTTATGCTGCGGGAGCAGGGACAAGAAAGCGCAACAACTGCTGTTTACGCTAGTTGACTTTGATTGCATGGGCCGGATTTATATGACGCTGATTTGGTACAACCAGGCACAAACAGAGCTCAGTGTTGCCCCAGGTGGGGGCAGTCGTGTGTTCTAGCGAGCACATTAGACACATGGCATGTGCGAGCTAATGAATTTAAGCAGATGGTATCAATCGAACAGCGCGAACTAACCAACAAAGCATGTGTACAAGCGTAACGATTATTTTATATTTACTGTGTAACTGACGAAACTGTTGATGAATAACATAATTTTGTCCGTGATCAGACTTCGATTTGACTCTCTGAGTGTCGTACGACTTGGTGCCACTGGTGGAGTTCGAACCCACGTCCTTTCGGACCGGTTACAGTGATCCCTACGTTGGTGGTGCACTTGCCATGGTTGATTTACCGGGTCTGATCAGTTTGTTGTCGATTCGTCAGTTCTCACAGTTTGCACCCAGTTTACAAGGATTGCATGCGTATCCCATTTTATTCCTACTGTAGTTATGCCCTCAGGTTCTCATTCCTGTTCTGCTACTGTACTGGAGGCACACGATTATGTTTTTCGTGGTGTTCCGTTGCGTAAGCCTGTAGCTTTTGTCACTAGTCACTTCAAACGGGAGCGTATTATTATGTCATCTCCTGCGTCATCGTCGTTATGCTTCCACTTTGTTATTGGCAACACCCTTAAGATCTCAGATTTTGTCGAATGCGTCGACGACATCTTTCCTACTCACGAACGTTCCGCTGCCAACGTTGATCTTCTCTTACATTCACCTAGCACCGAATGTTGTCTCAGCTGTTTGTGCCACGCAGATACTGGTTATATACAGGTATCATTTTTCCGAGAAGCTGCACTCGTGAGCCATTCAGTTCATCCCCAAGCGGTGTCCTTCAAAGCACCTCTCCCCTCCTCCATTTTTGAAAGCATGTGCATCACTGCTGAATTTAGTTGCGACACCCCAGGCTGGTAACCTTGTGATCACAAGCCTGCTTTGTAATCAGGGCCCGGATTCCAGCATACATAGGAACCAGGCGATCCTCGCAGTATCCTTAGCTCACCTGCGACCAGTGGTGGTTACGCGACAGCGGAGCGTCAGTACTGCGTACCGGCCTACTTCTGATGCCTTTCCTTTTTCTCCATCAAGTATTTGTCATGCTAACTGATTCAGATCCCGTGT